CAGAAATCGAGATAGTCCACACAAGATGCTTACATTTCTATAGCGTATAATCAAATAACAGTCTATAGGATCAACATTTGGGAAAAATTAAACTCTTACTAATATAATAATGGCAGAGTGAAAACCATTGGCTTTTCTTTGTAAAATAATTATAATTTTATTGTTTAATTCTAAGTAATAGTTGTTTAGTTATCTTATCATAGCGTAGCTTTGCAATGTGACAGTTATTGAGTTTCATATTTCATTTGCTAAAAATTTTATGGTTATTTTATACAACATTTACAAATTTCCATTGTCAATTCATATAGTTTGCATAAAAACTATTGAAAACTGTTTAGTTATATTCTTACATCATGGAGGATTAGTTATGACAAATTTTGAAATAGATATTATCATAGTTTTACTAATGGTTAAGGATGCAAACTTGTATGTGGTTATTTACTCATAATTTAATTCCAATCTTTGTTTGTGGTTTAATGGTACTAGTCACTAGAAAGCTTGATAATAGGGAGGCGCATTTTGCACTAATAACTTTATGACTGCACCTTTAAGTGCTGTAATCAATTGACCGCTTTTCTATCAAATACATTAGATTCGAAGTTTTTATGGTTTTGTTAAATCAAACGTTATTCACATTAAAATCAACGTTAACAATTAGAATATTGCTTGACAGTACTGTAGTGGGTCAGTTACAGGGATTGTCAATTCGCAAAAAACGTAAATTACTTCATTTTGTGGATACTTGGTATGGTGTATTACAACTTAACATTGATCAGTACATTTGCTAAGTATGTAATGATATGTGTACTAGAGTAATTATCACGTGTTATATGATTTTAACATTGTGATTTACCATATCGTTACACTGAAATTTACTGAAAGTTTGTTAAGGCAAATTTAATCATATTATATGTTTATTGTATAATGCTCATTTTTTTTTATAAACACAATTCAATTTCCAGCCCCCACAATCTAATATATTTTAAAATCTAGAAATAATGACTAGTTTTATTTATAGATTAAAATTTAACTTTTTGAATAATATTGTACCTTGGTTAATTACTGTTTTTTTTTAACATATGATCAATATGATTACAAGTTATTGTGAAATCAAAGGCACACCGGGGACTGTAAGGTATGTTTATAAAAAATCAACTACATTTATTTTGCACAAACGTGTTACCTTCATAATCTACATGACAAGTATTAAAATTAGTCGTTGAAAATTGTCCAGTATTTACTTAAACAAAGGGAAAAGATTATCTAACATGGTGAATAATGGACTGTATTTAATGATCCTTGGTTTTCGCTGAGAATGCGTGTGATGTTAACCTGTCAGGAAAACCAAAGACGAATGCAACTAGTCTCCAAAGACCTCTAAAATTATAATATTAAGCTCACTGATAACTATATTTGAGATGTGTTCTTGAGGTTATTGTGGGAAGTGATTAGTCAAGTTTAGTTGTAACGTAAGTGAAGCAGTCATCTCCAGTGAAATCGAATGGTTGTTTCTTTATATTGTGAAGTGACTGATGGTAAAATGCAGTTCAGTAGATTTCAGTCTACTGCCCTAGAGATAACAGGCTTATCTCAAGACCTTTAACTCCTAATTTGGATTCCATTTTGGGTAGTAGGGCTTTAAAGGGAAGGGACAGATACTCAATGTTATTAGTTTATATTGATTCTTCAGTTGAAGGTAGATGTTCCTAAAATAACTAATAATAGTAGTCAGTTGCCCAATATTTACCAGTTTGAAGGTGGGACTTTCTGAATTCAAGTCAAGCTCGGTGTGTCAGTCCTGAAAGTTATTATGCTAACTACTAAACCTGAGAACTGATTATTCATGATTGCCAATTATATGTCATCTTTAGATAAAACTTTCCAGATGTTATTTCGGAGTGGAAGCTTATTGAAAATAACATTCAAAATTTTCACCAAGCAATCATATGAAAATGATATTATGCACATAGGCATATGTATACACCATATAGATGTACTTCGAAATATAACCTTGAGTTATCCATATTGTGGCATATTTAGCACTTCCTGTCATTAATCTCTGGATTCAAATGGATGAGTATTGCATATGAGATGGCAAGTTTTATTTGAAAATTCAAGCCATAATATTCACTTTATTTGTGTTTTTCACCCGCCATTTTGTACTCTATTTCACTGGGCACGCTTACATTGCACAATTGCAGATAATCCCATTGTTGTATAAATCAGATTTTTGATTAAAATTACACTGAAGAATGAGGCGCTTACTCACTAAATGGGGAAAAATGTGACTATTGGTTCTGAGTACAATCTCATTGGTGAATATAGTAAATATTGAGACTAATACCAGCCTCCTAACATGAACCTTCATAGTTTAGATTTCATTTATTCTATTTCTTACTTTTTTCATCGTTAGCAAAATAAGCTGTAAGTTTAGTCATGCAGATAAATAGAAGACGATGACCAGCAATACTCATGTCATTTAGTAAACAAACAAATGTCTTTATTAGCTTAGACAAACAGAAAAATTTTTTTAAAAAAAGAACACTAAACTGATGAGTGTAGAAATTAATAAATGAATAATTCCATTTGTTGAAATTAATGCAATTGGACCATTAAAAAATCATGCCGTTAAATTGAATGAATAGAAAAATATACTTTTTCATGTTATTTGAAATTATTTATAAATATTTAACATGTATGAAGCTTTCTAACATTCCAATATAGCATATGCTTTTCATCACTTATGAGAACAAATTTATACATGCCAAAAAATCAATATAAAATAAGTTTGTACATTGTGTTTGCTTGAATGATGAGATCGTATTTGTATTTACAAATACTTTTGTAGTATTGCTCACATGTATTTTTCCATAATTGTAAGAGTGAGGTTTTTAATATGAAACATGTGAGTACACGTTTTCATCAAATCAAGCAACAGTTGTAATTCGAATACGCAAATTCATCATCGATTGTAATACTATGATCAAGTTGACTTTAGTAGATTATAACAACATTTAAAAGTACTTAATGTTTTGTGGTTGAGTTATCGACCAATTTGTTTAATTATATATTCATATCGTATTGATTGATATCTGATTAACAAATAAAAGTAAGAATTTAATATAATGCTCAACACTCTCCTTTAGGTTTTTTATCCGATTGTCTCACATGCATAGACTGCAGGAAGTTTATTGATTACCTTTCAGCATTTGCTGATAATTGTTGACCACTTCTAAGTTAACATTTCTTGATCTTTAATGTTGGTACTCACGTGTTTCCTAATATTTGGAAGGATGGTATGATAGTGCTTATTTCGTTAGATGTTTTAGAAGAAAGAAGTCACTATTGAATCTTTGGTGCATATTTTGACAGCCGTACATTGGAGCGACCTGGTCGTTAGTATAATCAGTTACTTGAAAACGACCGGGAGATTTCTATTGGTTGCAACAGAATCCTAAACACTCGAACTATTTGGATTGACGAAGAAATGTTGTTAGAAAATGATCAAAAATCATTTTATTTAAACATTCGTATATTCCGAATATTATTAATCTTCGAAACGTTGTATTTTAATACTTTCAACTCAGGAGATAAAAGAACAACTCCTTTGGGAGTCACGGGATTATTTACCAAGATTTACCAAAATGAAAGTTGGCTAGGTCACTTCAACAAAATCATTTGAAGACGAATGTTTGTCGAAACTTTGACAACACATTTATCATTTATACGTTTATTAAACAAAACAACATCATATAAAGATGCTTCAGATTGTCCGATTGTTCGAAATAATGGTTAATCAACTCAACTAAATAAATAAATTATTTACTGACGAATATAACGTAAGTCTCTTCTTGAAAATTTTAAAGTGTTGGTGTGCAATATCAGACTTTTAGGTTTTATGTTATTTATTTCAAACGAATTAACGTATATAAATAAATTTCTGAGAAAAATTATGAATGGATAACTAGAAAAATTTAGTCCAAGTATGTAATGAGACCTTTTGAAAGTGAAATTATCCAACGAAACTACATAGAATGAGCTGAAATCCTGCGTATGAAAATTGCCTTGATCCAAACTACACAAACATGATTCTCTCATCATATCAGCAGTTTATATGGTTGGTTCTCCTCTCATTTATGAAATTCTCTTGTTGACTATCGAAATATTTAGAACTGATTAACTAAAACTAGTTAGTTTTCTGTGGCTTAAAATCCACTTAATGATTTAACTCACTGTTCGAAAACTGTAATATCAATAAAAAACTGATGGTTCAACTTATTGTCCGATTATTATTCATCATGACTTTATTCAAAAAGCATGCAAATCATTGTCATCGGTATTCTCTATTAAGAAAGTGATTTATTCGATCTATTCTTACCAGTGTATACTACAGGTTTATAATCTCTATGAGACAAGTCGTATATCGCAAAAACAAGTCTCATGTAGAACCTACTGCGTCCAACTTTGCCAAGTATGATAACTTTGAAACTTAAACATACGGAGATACATTGCACTGTCTTAATGTTATTCAACCGTAATAAAACTAGATTAGTCTACGTTTACCTTCACTGAAATTATCGACAAGAAATGTCTACCATTTCGTATTAATCTACTATTCACATGTTTTGCTGTAAATTTTCGATATTTATACAGTATTAAAATACTGTAGGACTAATTCGACGGGGTCTGTAAACATGTAGTGTAATTGACACTGTGATAAGAGTACAGTCAACTTGTACTGAAGTGAATGAAAAGAATGAATCATAGAAATGCTAAAAATCATGTTTCACATGACTTTTATGTCAGCAACAATAATAGTTTCAATGAACATACTATAGGTCAGAGTTCATTTTTAATAATTATCTCTTACATTCCAAACACGGATCATTTAAATTAACCAATAGCAAATAAAAATGAGCGCCAAACTACAACCACAATATCACTTTGATAATCAAATATCCAATAAGATTAATTTATTTCATAATAAGGAAGGTGTAAAATTTTTCATTTTGTTGATCCAATATTGAAGTGACTATATAAGATCATTTACACCTGTTAACAAATGTAAATCTGCTCACTTAATTGCTATTGTATATTTATTCAATGGTGAACATATTATTTTTAACTTTATCAAATATATTTATCTTTAACTTTGCACAAAGTCAAAGAAATTTACTCAGTGAAATAGTTAAATCAAGATGTATTCAGTGGACGATTGAACATAGAGCTTACGAGTAAGTTTATGTAATTTTATTTTCAATAAAACTACAACAACTGAATACTGAAGTTTTCAAAATAAACTAACATTCAATTAACCAAATTTAACTGTGTGAATCAACATTAAAACAATGGCTTGTTTCATTCGATTTCATTCCAAATATATTATTACTAGGGATAATGATACTAATCAGTTTCTTAATTAGAAAAATAAATGAGCTGAAAATCTGTAATCGGAGAATAAATAACTGATTTACTCAGAAGACATGACTTTAATTAACGTCGAAAATTTGATATTTTTACTCATCAGGATATCACAAAAAACAAATCTATTTTAATACTACAAACCTTTGACCTAATGCTTAGTTTATTTGAAGCCATCAGTTCTAACCTTGTCATCAGTTTCTAGGATCCTAGAAGTTTGAAGCACGTACGAAGTTGTTGAAAGTCTAAACTGTTGCTTTATAAACCATTGTTTCACTTTCATAATTTAAGATGTGGTTCATAATGTCTTTGTAAAGTTTATTCATATATGAATTTAATTACATATGAAATCTGCCGACTGATTAGTAGTTAGCAGTGATTATTGTCACGTCACGAACTGACCTCGATTACATAACTATCGAAAAGCAAGAAGTACTGAACAGTTATTTCATCTTATCGAGGGACTAAGTTGTGAATATAACGCCTTGTAACTTTCAACAATTATTTAATTAGAGATATTTTATGATAAAAATCAAAACTTTTAAATATTTCCATAATTCTCCTATTCTTAATAGCATATTCATGAAACTAGAATTTTAAAATATTAATTTATTTTCCTGATACACTTTATAACTGTCTTATTTAATTTCATAAAACTAGTATTAGTTGTAATGAAGTCTGGAATTCGTTTGAGAGTATTTTACTTTCTCCTGCTGCTCAATCAGAATGTGTTATGAAATCAGAGTTATACGATGATTTTGTTAGACATTTATTTGAACTGGAACAGCAAAATCAGCAACAAAATTTAACACAAAGTGAAGTAAGTTGAACCGTATGGTATGATATCAGATAGTTTATATTGTAGAATAATACCTTTTCATGAAATGATGACATTGAATGATTTAGGAATATAAATAAACAGTTATCTAACCTTGTGGTTGATAATATCAAAAAAGTAACGTTTATTAAGAAAGTAATTGATCAAGTAAGCTATTTTAATAAACTCAACATGTAATAATGGAAATAGTAGATACACTGATATTTTGTGAGCAATATTTACTTTATGCTTCTATAAAGGACATTTTAGGCAGGTTGTGTTTGACTTCAATTCATATTCGACATCTTTATGTGATTAGCTGTAACAAGTAATTTTTTAGTATCATGACAAGTAGAAGTTAACTACAATTGGTTATTGTATGGTCTTCATTTCAATTCTCACTTAATTATTTGTTTTACTATTTCCGTTGAATATTTATGGAAAGCAACTTGAATTAATCTCACATAAATGTATGAACTCAGTCAGTCAAATCACTTTATTCACACAACTTTTATCAGCTGATTCGCTTTGATTAACACTCTAAACTGATATAATTACGATCAGTATATTTGTGAGCTTTATTGAATCAAAATGATGTTACCTATCTGAGCTCTGACAATTTGGACAAAAAAATATTGTCATCAAACGACTTGGTTTCGTCACCAGTCTAAATTATTAAAATCAGTAACAAATATTTAGTATGTGACCAGGAGTTGGATCCCCGACGCATATTTCCTCCTTTTCGAAATTCGTTAGCTGAATTAATTTGCATTCCAGTCTTAATATTCACAGTTAAACTATTTGACTTTAGTTCTTTGTTGGATAACGAGTTTTTATTTTGAAGTGAAAACAACATCTGCTATAGACACTCCAAATGAACTAGAACTTTTGATGTCACGCTATATTGAGGCGATCTGTTCATGTTGGACATTTTTAACAAAGACTGATATATTACTGTCTTGAACATCAAAGACAAAAAATTACTAGTTTGGCTGAATGTTATGAACTATTCCACATGGTCTATTCTTATGTAACATGAAATGCGGTGCTTTACATCTTACTATTAGTAACAGTGTTTGTATTAGTTTTTAGTTGAGTTGTATGCATACTGTTAGCGGAAGCGATGAAAACCTGATAACTTAGCTGACCAAAGCTATATTTTAATGTTAAATACTTTACTGAGTTGATATAATTCATTTTAAAACCTAGATGTAGTATTACGGTCAGTGATTTATTTATTTACATAATTAGAAGTTAGACAGTAAAAAACAAAATATATTCAAATAGAAGGAGGGAAAATTACCCTATTTTCCATAAATTCTGTATTACTTATCCGAAAAATAAAAGTGATTTGTGTTCGGTTCGTAGACACACACAAAACCACCAGTAAACCAGATTGAAGGAAGCCAAGTATAGAATAGCTATTATTTACTGAGTCGAACATGTCTTGTTTGAAGTTTAGGCTGTGCTTGACTGAGTAAACAGTAGCTCATAAAGTCAACGATTTAACGAATAGTTTCTGGCTTGATAAATTGACGAACAACATCTAGCGCTCAGAACACTGTCTGGAAACTTGCTGTAATAATTACGATCTACAATCCATCGAGTGAAAAAGATTTGCTTCAACAAATAAAGTTCAGAAAACCCTATATACTAATGTCAATAAAAAATTTCATTGTTGCTTCGTATTGGTACGCTTACATTACATTTTGTATCTACTATGATATATGTATGGACAGTTTAAATGTATCAACCAAAATGAACAAATAAGCTCCAGAAAATCGTACTCCGTTAAGTATAAGCATCAATAGTTTCAACATCCTAGCTTTGTTGACAAATATTTTAAATATCAACTGACAATAAAGGAAAAAAATTTCACATTTGTTTACATTTACATATAACTTATTTTAACATCAAGCTCATATTTATGAATAATTTAATTTTCGGCTTAAATTGTTAATTTATATTTTTAAGCGATACTTCCATTCTCAAGTGTTGAAAGTCATTCGAGGGATATGTAAACGTCTTGGAGTATGTCGCTCTCTAGAAACCACATTTGCAGGTTAAGTTTATCAAAGTCTTATAACCTACTTACATTCATTTTATTTTGATATATTACTTAATTTAGACATATTTCTGTAGTTAAGTCTTTGAAATTTTCATACCAGTTATAAATTATTTGAACTTTGACTTTCCTAATGTAGTAGTATCAGTTACACAGTATATAGAAAATCCGTTCTTCTTAGTAAAATTCCAAATCTTATCAAAATTTATCTATTAGTTAACATACCTCTCTTCTATAACTTGACTGTGAATGGGTAACAAATTGATGTTTTGTTTCAAGAATGTCGTTTTAAGAGATGAATGTCAAAGTTATTGCAATGACTCAAAGTTATAGAAATACTTTTCCCTTATAGTATAATAGTTCTGTCCATACAAATATGATCTAGTCTTTGAAAATCATTAAACCTTCAATGTTTTGAACTTCAGAAAGATTTGTGGGTCATTATCATATATGTTAGGTAATATATCGCCTAGAAGCCACCCTTGACTTGCAAACCTGCAATGTAAATTCCTCAGAGAAGAATAAATTTTAGGAAAATCTGAGTCGTAAATCTGCCACTAAATAAAACGTAGTGACCTGTTGTTGACTGTGAATTTCGAACTGAAAAAAGAGATTACATTTATTTTCGCTACACTTATTTGTTCTAAGTTTCAAAAATCATTCACAGCTCTATTAGGTGACCTTAACAAGTTCCATGCTGACTAATTATTGTATATGAATTAGGTTGTGAGCAGAAAATTAAAACGGAACGTTAAGATCATGGTCGTATAAAAATGATTTATTCATTGTGAAAAAATTGTGCATATCATATATGGTAACCGATAGTTAGAGACCTTGAATGACTTAGCTCAACTTGGTTCGCGATGGCGCAGGTGCATCCACTCTTTGTCTTCTCGAAAATTCTAATCTTATGAAAACTTTATCATTTCTCTCTTTAATTTTAATTCTCTGAATTTCACTTCTTGGATAATTTCTTTGAACTCTAATCTTCTCAGTTACCGCTAATACATCTACTCTCTCTATTATAAAGGACTTTAATTGACAATTGCGTTTCCGTGCTAATGTAGGGTGCACGTTTTGGGCCACGTCATTCAAAGTCTCTAACTATCGGTTACCATCATCCCAAACCAGGTAGTATATACCCACCAACATGGCTCAGTCCAATTGTCAGTGACTTCATGGATTTGTTCCATGTTTGGGTTTGGCCGCCCGTAGCTTCCATCCAGCCTACCCCTACACCAAGTATCATTGCTCGTCGAAGAAGCCGATGCTTAGGCATCCATAACACATGTCCCAAACACAGTGGACCCATTCTTCAGTTAGCGAACGGATATCTCACCTACGCCATAAGTGACGCAACTTGGCAAAAGCCAATCGAGCTTTCTGTATCCGTGCTGAGATTTAGTTAGTCATCAGGCCATTAGCACTGATGACACTTCCAAGATAAGTGAAACCGTCAACATGTCCAACCACTCTACACCCTATCACTAGTTCAGCTGCCGATGCAACAAAATCCTGAAGCAACATTTTGCATTTGGAAGGGTAGGATCTCATCTCAAACATGTTTGCATTGTTGCTTAGGGTAGTCAGAAGACTGCATTTTGTTAGAGTCTTCATGAAACAGAACTATGTCGACGGCATACTTTAAGTCAGCAAGCTGGTCTCCCGGTAAAAGTTCAACTCCTGAAAATTCAGACGAAGGAGCCTCAGTCAGTGTGAGTGTAGGCAGAGACGATAAAGAAGCAACGGCGAGTTTCCCCATCTGTACGAATCCTTACTATTCCGTTTAGTCGTACAGCGCACATGCGACTATCTATTAAGATCCAGTCGAGGAGACCTAGTTCTTCTCTAAGACTCAATGCTATATTTACACCAGCGAGGCCTCGCGAAGCAGCAGTAGTGTTTCCATATACACGAAGCGTAAACCGAGTTGGTTCTTTATCTCGGCAAGGTAAAGTCAAATTAATCACTGTACTCGGATCCTATATGCGCGTTTCCGAGAAGCAGCATACTCTCCAACATGTAGTTTAGAATGGGGCTTCAGGAGACCAGGAATAACTTTTCGTGAAATCGAATCGTTTGCATTAGCGGTGCAGGGTGATAAAGGAGTGTGAGTAGAGTTAGTCGTGGAGATGAGAGAGATATTAGGAGGTATAGGAAGGATTTGATAGTGACCAATCTGATCTCGTGAACTATTACGGGTATGAGGGCGGATGTCACTTTCCGACTGTTCACACTGTAGAAGGACTCTGGTTGTCCGAATGGGCATCGGCCTCGTGACTTCCGAAGGAACTCGTTTTATATCATAATTCTTCTAAATGAAGACCTTCTAACTTTCAGAGCAGAGTTTAAATGGTTTGAATAATTTTTCCTCATTAGCGTTTGTTTAGCCAGTTAGTTTTCTACGGTATGGGGTTGCCAAGCGCAAGACCTACTCCTCTCTTTTACCCGAGCTTGGGACCAGCAGCATCTCCAGAAGGGCTCTAGGTGGAGTTATAACTGACCAGAACGCTCTCTTGTATTGCACCACTTCGATTTACTGGGATGGATTTATTTAAAATATTCGATTCTAGTTACAGATAAAAGAATTAGACGACACTAATGATCTCATAAAATATGACTTTGTCAATAAGATTCTGTGTTGAAAGTCTCGGAAACATTAAAATGCCAGAGTAACATTTGGATTTCTTAGACTACATTCAAGTAGTGACTAAGTTACATAACTTAAAGTGGAAAATCGTACATTATTAAGATTTAAGTAAGGTATGTTGTGAATTAGCAACAAGTTTTTCTGCAAGTCAATGATCAGACGTTCTACCGCAAATTTCTCGACCATCCTAATAATCAGTGAAGTAATATTTAAAACCACGTAAGTCGGTTGTATTTCTGAATTGAATACATGGTATGGCATATGTGATTTAACATGGCTTATGATAGAAATCTGTTATCCTGAAAATGATTGTTTATTGTTTAACACTTTCATCACCTTAATTTATGTGCTGATAATACCAATTCAATTCATTTTGTTTGTTTACGATTAGGATATCTATTTGATGATTTGGATTGGTGTGATGGTAGTTTAACAGGCAACACAAAATACGGGACTGCATGCGGATGCAATTCTAGCAGTAGTGTTGTTTATGCGTTCTGGAAAAGTGCTTCAGCTGAGGTAAATCCGAATTAATTCTTTATCTATCAGCAGAGTGTTATTATAAAAGGCATAATACATTTTCATTACATAGTGTAGTAACAATTAAAAACCATTTTATGTGTGTATATCATGTCTAATAAAATAATTTTATATATATGAGTATGAGATTTTCTAAAGGTCAAAGTAATATCATGTTCTTGCAATAATAGTAATGAGTGATCTTCACTGTCTCCATCTTCATAGTTCGAACAATATGATAATTTCTTTTTGAATATCACTGTAAATATCTAGTGTTTAAAAAGAAAGAAACCGGTTATTGAGGGAATATCGTGTGCATAATTATGATTTATAAAATTAAAGGTGGTAATCAATAAATGTACTTACATGTTGGTGTTCAGGTGTGCTGTTTTTAAATACAGTATGTAGTTCAGAAAACATTTCACTATTGTAGAAAATACCGCTATCAGCACAGCCTCTCAAACGAAATAAATTAATTATTTACAAATACATATAACTGGTTGTTCATATTCAATTAAAATCAGTCAACTGATATGTAAGCAATGGATGTGTCATTTGTAATTACTTAACAGGTTTTTTTCCTTAAATGAGCCAGGATGAATTTATGTAACGAGGTAAACCTTCGCATTCGAATGATCTAATAAAACTTATGTAAAGAGATGGTATTCATGTCGATCGATCGATTATTTAGAATTGAAAGCGACTCTGTTATGATTATTCAGCTGGCTTCGGGTTGAAGTATGTTTACCTGAATATTGACCGTTAGAAATGAAACAAATAAAATTAATGGGATTTAAGAAAGATTGACTGATGATTACTTATTTAAAAGTATATAAAGGTGATACTTTTTCAGGTCAGTATTTGTTTCTATCACTTCAGTAAGAATTTAGTCCAGTGTGACAGGTGCGAAAAGTCGTTCAATGTGAAGTGTTATTTCAGGTCACTATTCTTGTATCAGTATAATGTGAACTTCACTTAGAATGGCATATGTGAACTTTCGTTTCATGTAACAATTAAATTCTTTGTATTAATTCAATGTGAACTTGGTGTGTTTTCGCAACAATTCTGTATAATTCTCTTATATTTGATATTTATCATCAAGTGTGTGTAAAAGCAGTACGAAAATGAGTGTATTTGTGTTCAGTGAAGATGGGTTTTGGTGATACATTATTGGATAGTTTATAAATCTTCATTTTTACCTGTCATTTATATTCTTACTTTGCGTCATGCAAATTACAGTTGTTCCCTTTTTCAATAATAAGCAGTAGAGCCGTACATACAGTAGCCATGACTTTAGATGAATTGAGAAACTGACTATGATTTCGAGACTCTCAAATCAAACACATATTTTTGGATTTTAAGTCCTCACATTAAATCAATGTATCTAGATCAATATCAGTTATAGACGTGGTTAAATTCTAAGCATTTGAAAGATTTGGAGTTAACATATCGAAGCTTTAATTGCTGGAGTGCATCGAGATCAATAGCTTGAAAGTAGATTCTTAAGTTGACTAACTGTCCGATAAAGTGATAATTGTAACTTAAAACACCAGTGATTTGGTCGTCTAGTTTACATAGTACAAAGTTTAAAAATTCATCTGCTGTGTGGGTTATTTCACTTCCTGAATTGTTGATAACATTTCCAAGCTACTCATGAGACGTAAACTGAATATTCATCACTTGATTTACTCCAGCGGTTTTTATCTTGTTTCTCCGAAATTCCGATTTCCACTAAATCAGAAATAATATTGAGATAAAAATGAATCTAGAAATTTCTAGAAGTTATTATCTTCAGCTTTGTTGAAGGGTTTTGCTATTTTTGAGTTTTTTGAGATTGACGGTTTATTACGAAGTTCAATACTAATTCGTTTACAATAAAACAACATAACACTGAAATTAAATTAATTGATCACCTGTATAATTACATGAAATGTCTTTATTATAGTATGCCAGAAGAGCATCTGGTAACATCTCTCTTGTACTGAATGGATCGGCCAAGGCTCCATTTGATGAAAATAGGTGAGTTTCTTAATTCATATATTTTTAGTCAGTTTGTTATTGTAAAATTAGTAAAATTCCTCATGAATGTCTTTTGACATCTACTTTGAGACAGGTGAATTACCTAATTAACAAAACAGTTTGTCTTGAATGAGATATTCTTTAATTTTCTATCAGAATAAGAAAAGAAGGTTCGGTCAAACTTCGGATAGTTAAACTCTAAACTTGACGAATGTTTAACACAAAGCGTAACGTTATTTACGTTTAATGAGTTATCTAGCCCAAATAAAGATTATTCACGAAGCTTGGATTTATAACGAATTATCTTTGATTGTATTGTTCACACAAGGGGTTCATGTTGTACTGAAATTAAAATTCCATAAGTTAAATTTTAACTACTGAAAGTAAACAATCTTTATGTCAGATATTAACTTTTCAAATGCTTGAAGGATAAACCTTTTGAAAAAAATATTCCAAATCAATTTAACACTATGTTAGTACTTTGAAGAAGTCTAATCATCAGTTAATATCATCTGATTTTCATGACAATAAAGTCCCTAAGTAAATTTACAACTGAAAGTTGGCTTTCACTAACTTATGTCCCCGGTAACACAAGCAAGGTATTTGTCTACCTACTGAATGGTGAATATACTGAGCATCTGCTTCATTCGTGCTCTGTTAGGCCTGTGGACTTTACTTAATGAAGTTATGAGGTATCGTTAGGTGGCTAGAGCTTGATCTGATATGCTTTTCCAGTATTTTTCAGGAATTTAGAAGCTACTGAGTTATGGGTTTTGACAAACTGGTTAACGGGACTGCGAACATTCATCAGCAAACTAATCGGTGCATTTCATCTTATAAAAATTCATACTTCATCAAGCGTTTGAAATAATGAATAAGCAAAATAATAGTTTGATTTGTTATTAAATATATAACTTTATTTATTGAAGTAGGTATATTCTATTTAACTATTTATTTTGTGATTATGTTCATAATTTGTTGCATTTTCTACTGTAAGAACTTTCGGGAAAATTGAACTACCGCAGTTAAAATTTCCTCGAGTAAATCAAATAACTGTGAAGTTAATTTATAATTTAGACGATACAGGTTACCGGTAAGTTTTTTCATTTTTCTGAAATTGACTATGATTGAAAGCTAACGAATTCATTCTTGAATGTGACTAATAAACTTCAGCTTATGTTGAATGGGACATAATCATACAAACTGGTTGGCATCAGAGTCTGTAAACCTCAATGAAGCATAATAGTTAAATCGTTCAGCACTCATCGATTATTCATATTATTTATGTGAAATCTAATAAATTTACCCATCTACTTAAACTAAAGTAAACAAAGAACGGTAAGAACTTGGAATTCGAGCCTCTTGACCAAAACGTTTATGTTAACTATCATAGTAACTGTAGTTGGATTTAAGCAGTATTATTATTTTTGAACGTTAATTACTAAAGTTAACAATTTCAGTTTTGTAGTTTCGTCATTAACAGTAATTTCGGAGTGAGCGCTGGATCAGTATTATCATGGTAGTTTAGAACCATCATGTAGGAACCTTGATCTTATTTCTGGATCTTATCCATCGCACTTTTTCAGTTATTTCTACAAGATTGAAAAGCCGTGCGATAAATTACTCTAGTCGTCCCAATTATTCTGTCATAAATTTATTAACCCTGATCAGTTACTCTAGTGTAACCTGGTCATTTTTTATACATGTGTGGATGATAACAGACATGTATCCGTCCACGTCCTTTATTTCCTACAGGACTAATAAAAATGGAGTAACTTTGTCTTCCTAAGATGAGTGTTTTACCAAACAACAATGCTTTATACATTCTCTAGACCTCTTACTGCTTTTCTGCAGTTCGATTTTGCCATGTCTAAAATATACGTATCCTAAATCCGATTCATATTCTCTTTAAGTGTCTACATCACATCAACATGATTTGTAGACAGAATCTGTACGAAGAGAATAGGATTTATGTATCTTTGACGTCATTAAAATTCAGTCTTTACGGAGAAAACCCATGGCTAAACTATATATGTTACTATCGGTAGTACCTGTTTCATGTGTTGCCTAGTCTTCCATGAGTTTCTTAAGTAACAATAACCGAAGAAATTCGCTTGATAAGTTCAGAATTTGGATTACTTATTGTTTGTAATAAACTTTTAAACATGTACTTCAACTTTAGGGCGAGAAATTAAGCACCATAAATCTTTTTTATGAATATTCCTTTAGTTCACAGATACATTCTGTGTTAAGGTTCACCCCATTTATCTCTTTTCTATGGGCCTCAGTGTTTTCCATTTGTTTCTACTGGAGTATGCTTGAAAACTTACATTTCACATCAATTTAGCTTCTTGAAATTATTCTTTCTTATTATGTTATGTGTAATCTAGAGGATTATTTGAAATTCATGAACAGCCGAATAATTCTGGATTTTGTGAATTACTTGTGATACATTGAATAGTTGCACATTTTTGAAACCATGTATCCGATCAATGTTAGACCACCATTAGAAACCTGGAAGTACTGGACGGCCGTTTCGTGCTGGTATGGGACTCCTCAGCAGTGCGCATCCACGATTCCTGCAGCCCGCAGGATTCGAACCCAGGACCTTCAGTATTGTGCGCGAACGCCCTAACCGTCCAGTGCTTCCAGGTTTCTAATGGTGGTCTAACATTGATCGATACATGGTTTCAAAAATGTGTAGCTTAACAATCTTCAAAACCCCGTAATGCACATTGAATAGTGTTTGCAGGTGTTGCTCAACTTAGTACATATTAATATGGATGTGAATTGAGTAAAGTGATATTGAGATGGGCGATGTATAGTTAAGATTATTTAAATTAGACTGCAAATTTCTCAAAGAAAGTGTAATCACATTCATCATACCTTCATTTTTCTTGCTGTACATTTTCTACCAGACAAAGATGTGATTCATGGAGTCTGCAGGAACTTGCGAAGAAGCTGAACTCAGCAAATATTCCTTTTCTTTGCATTGATGATCCCTTGTAAGTTTACAAGTAACTTTAGAAACAATAAATTTACTAACACATCTGTTTTGATGGCTTCCAAAGCATCAAACAATATAGTCAGGTAAATTTTTGTATTCTGTAATTATCAAAACAATGGTTTATATTTGAAACATTAAATACCTAAAGCTAGAATTCTGATTTATAAGAAATTAATTTAATACTATAAACTTACAGTTAAAGATTATTACTTCTGAATCTTCATGATTAAGCCTATGGTTTGATACATTTGCTATCATCAAATGTTAGAGTATTTTCAAGTAGGGATTACAATGCTAACGTAACCATGTTTTCTTGTCTTAATTTACGTATATATTTTGTTTCAAATTTTCAGAGAGTTCAGACATTATCACTGCATCGAAAATCCTTACAAACAACGATGTCAGTTTTCAGCTTCTTCGAATTTAAACATCTTCAAACTTCCGCTCATACTTTTTTCCCTACTCGTTTTTTTAATTTCATATATCCTCATGTATTGAAAGAATACTATAGAACTATAATTTAAACAACGAAAGTGACCCATCGTACTATCAAATAGGAAACAATGACAATTCCATGACAGAAATATTCTTTCCCATGATACATTTTACTGATGCTGCACTTCTGCATTTATCTTTATCTAGTAAATATACTTGTTCATTGAAAATTTGGAATCAAGAGATATCTGTGGTGTTTGAATGAACTAGTGACTTCTTGGTTATGAAAATGCCTGATTTCGAATTCTAAATACAGTACATTCTTTCGTGCTTATCTAGTAGTTCTTGATCCACTTACGTTACTTCTGGTATTATTAGTTCATGCTATAATTCAAATACTTCTAATTATCATAATATCACAAGCTAGGCTGTTTAATAGTTTGAAAGTTGAAACAAAGTAGTAGGGTAAACGTAGTTAAAGGATCAGAAGTCTGAGAAATAACTGTGCGCCTGATAGATATAGAGAAGGAACACTTTACGTCAGTAGTAACAAGAGTGTAGTAGTAACGTGAAATCGAAAGATAGGAATAATAACTTTAACAAGAGATTCTGTCAACTTTGTCTGACTCTTTAACGATAACATTTTGAGTTTTTTCGTGATGCTAAACTACCAGAATATTTTTGAATCTCATTTTGTCGGAATTTCTTAAGTATAAGTGGATTAAGAATATCTACTGATAGTATGGTCCTATCAACTTAAAGAAATCTACCATGTCGAAGTAAAAGTGTACCAATCAAATGAAGTTGGAAGTTTGTAAGGCATTCTCAAAGAATTAGTGTATAGATAAACAACGGCTAACAAGTTCATCTATATAAATGTATTATAAATAAAGTTGTTACACTAGCTTTCCACTGGAACTTAAATACTAGCAGTAACGACTCTATTCGGAAGTAAATGTATAGATAAAACAATATACCAAGATAGAAAATATGATCATCTGGATATGTTCTATTTTAAAAGCGGTATAATAATACACATAGTTTACTTGCAGGGTAGTGATGATAAATACGTTACTGAGATTGTAGATGAAAAAAAACAAAACTAACACTTATGAGAGTAGCGAAAATCAAAGTTTATTTTAGGTGAAGTCAGATTAATCCAGAATATTGTAAATACTAATAGCCTGGTGTGAAATAAGTAGTAAAAACTCACAACCAAATGCACAATAAGTAATTTAACTGCATACACATCTCAGATAAGAAATTTACAGATAAGAAGAGTATGGTTCGTCAGTTCAAACTGTAATTTTTGCGTAAAGCACTGAATGAAATGTAGGAATCACGGTACTACCATGAATACAAAGTATGGGATTATACCTCTGCACCCTTACTAAACTTAAGACCATTTGCGAAGATAACTTGAAGGATGATTCTTATGAGTCACTGTGACTAGTTTCGTTGGGTGATCTGGAATTCGGAAGTGAATTGATTAACATTCTCTCTTTCAAGCTCAACCCAGCTGACTCTCCGAAAAGAATAATGATTGACTGATGCAAGTTTTTTCAAATTAACGCTGTTGCCGACTAAGTGTATAGGTCATCAGGGCTTTCAGTTTCCTAAATAAATCATCATCCCGGTAGTCTATTCTGATTTTAGTCATCAGTGAGGGTTAATTACATTGTTTCCTGCAGTCACTTTTTTACGTGAGGTTGTCAGTCACGGTAACGTAAGTCTATGAGTGTTTATTATGGTGAAAAATTTTATTATCTTTCGTATTATATCACTATGCATCTTAAAGTGCATTTATCTTGATCAACCACCACAATTCTATGTCAGTTCATTTAAGGGGATCGGGTACGATAGACTTTCAAGGTTATTACCAGCACCAGAGTTAGATAAAACGCTGGCAAAATGCTTAAAGGTAAACGGAGTAAAGCCTCTTGAAGTTGAACTTTCCCATACTGGTACCAAAAATTGAACACATTTTATAAGATTAAAGTGCTGAGATAAGATTCCCTTAATAAGCCATTGGATGTTTGGTAGAAATTTGATCTAACCAGTTTTGGAGTTGGGGTAACTTATATCCTACAGAGTAACCACATAATAATCACATTTAATATTACTTTTGCCCCACAAATATCAATAAAAAGTCACACATAACGCAACATCTAACGTTTTTCTATGACCGTAGTTGGGTATGAATGATCATCCAGAAAATATGAGGATCACTTATGGAATTGAAACTATTTGAGGAGCAGTAATTTTTACAGGGGGTTGTGCCGTTCTGTGCTGACCAAAAGTAGTCGTATTCGTAATGCTAACTGCTAAAACAAAGAGCCGCCTAATAGTCACGTATGTGGCAGGGTTAAAGTCAGAAGGGAATTTGTGAGAACAGTTGAAAGTGATGTATTTGGAATTCAAACGACGTTAAAAATGAATCATCGTCATATACGAATATCATATCTTAATTAGTTAAAACGAATACTGCCCTTATTTTGATCCTTGTATACATTTTGGAAAACTCATACGAATGTTTCTAAGCTTCTCGTGGATTATCAATCAGTTCCTTGATAATGTGTTACATCAGTAGAGTGTGAACATTGCAAATTTGTGTGAAATTATTTTGGTCTTGGTATTTTTGTATTGTTGTACGGTTCAAAATTTTTGCATTTAAGGACCTCTTCTGCTCCTCTTTCCGTATTTCTGAACTTTGCATCAGTAGTAGAAACGATAGTTTTTACCAGAGTTTTGTAACTTTCGGCTTCAGCTTCAGAATGGGGTTATTTTAAGAATGTATGTAGGTTCATTCCTTTTGATTCTGTAGTCGACCATTTTTTAGCCATTTCGTCAAAACTGATTCCACTCAATAATAAGAAATAGTATTGTTGGAGCTTGCTTAAATTTTCTAGCACCAAGATAGGTGATCTAAAATCATTGATAGGGAATTCATAAGTTATATTTAAAGAGTTATCATCTAAGATGAGCGAGTTACCTAATCCAAGAACAGGAAGTTTACAACAAGTAATACTTGTAGTAGAAACGTCAGTAAGTGCAATGAAAACATTTTGATTTGTTGACTTCAACTTTCTAATTGAAATAGTAGATTTGATACAACCAGCTTTATTCACAAAATCATGATAAGAACTGTTAGACAATTGTATACGAGTCAGAATAATGATTGAATTGATCGACGTTGTTGATAAAAGTGATATGATTGCTAGTCACTAAACTTGATAAAGCCTAACAACAAGGTTTGTTATTACTCTTGGCACAAACGTACTGTTCTTTTATACACCCATATAATGTGTTCGATTTCACCAGACATGAATCATGACGAAACATATAGGTGCAATTGACAACATGATAAACATTTGTTGAACATGTAATCAACTTACCAAATGTAATTATGCATTTTAGATATAAACATTGGTACAACGTGCACTGAAACATACATGTGTCACACAAAATAATCAGGGGTGTGAAGAGATAGAAAAAATAGTATGCGCCGGTCAGTATTCTCCAAACCACTCTGTCTTGGGCTTTCCTTTTTAGTTCTTTCCAATTTTTGTTTATTCTTCTCATATTTTCCTCTGTTTCTCAGCATAATGTGTTTCTTGTCCTTCCTCTTTTCCCTTGACCTTGTGGGTTCCAATTGAGGGCTTGTCTTGTGATACAGTTGGGTGCTTTCCTCAATGCGTATCCTATCCACCAACACCGGCGCCTCTTCCTGATCTCCTCCACTGGAACCTGATTTGTTCTCTCCCGCAGTGGGTTGTTGCTGATGGTTTCTGGCCAACGATTCCGAAGTATTTTGCGTAGACAACTGTTGATAAACACTTGTATCTTCTGGATGATGGCTTTGGTAGTTCTCCAACTTTCCGCCCCATGCAGTAGAACTGTCTTGAAATTTGTATTGAATATTCTGACATTGGTGTTTGTTGACGGTTGTATTGAGTTCCAGATGTTGTTCAACTGTGGAAATGCAGCTCTTGCTTTACCGATCCACGCCTTCAAATCTGCATCATATTCACCTTGTTTGTCATCGATGCTGCCCAGATATGTAAAGGTTTTTACGTCCTCCAAGGCATCTCCATCAAGAGCGATTTGGCTTGTGCCTATTGTGTTGAATCGGAAAATCTTGCTTTTCCTTTTGTGTATGTTGAGACCAGCTGCCGGTGAGGATGCTGCTACACTAATCATCCTCTCTTGTATTCGTCGTTGCGTGTGCGGTAGCATTCGAATTTCCCCACGTTTGACCTATAGCTTGTTCTGCTAACTTCAATCTTGATTGGTTGCTGTTGACCTTAAACCTGTCGTTGTTTACACCTTTGTTTTGATTATAGCAAAAGGGAAATACAATCAAAACAAAGGTGTGAACAACGACAAGTTTAAGGTCAGCAGCAACCAATCAAGATTGAAGTTAGCAGAACAAGTTTCTGGTCAAACGTGGGGAAATTCGAATGCTTCACTTCTATGTGCAGTTTGTGCTGATGATGTTGTTCAGAAGAACAATGAAAGCTTCAAAACCAAAACATTGAGCTCAGAGAACGAAACACCACCACAAGTATCTTTTGAGTCCTGCAGCAACTTGAAACAGTCTTCTAGTCTCCCACAATGTACGAACGTTTCATATACCTACAAGATTGGTTGCTCTGGTTGAGGGAAGAGATATCGGCCTCGTGACTTCCGAAAGAACCCGTCTTTCCTCATGAGACGTCAGAACACTTTTGAGAAATTCTTTCCAACTGTCAGGGCAGAGTTAAAGTGGTTCGAATTATGCTTTATGGTTAGCATTTTTCGCGAGTTAGTTTTTGTATGGGATGAAGTTGTCAACCACAAGCTCAACCCTCCTCCTCAATCCAAGCTTGAACGGGCAGTAGCCCTGGAGGGACTTCAGGAACAGTTAAGTTTAGCAACCTATTGCGTTAAATGGGGCAGCATTTAAACTATTTGATATTGCCTGTGAACTGGCAAATGTAACACGCTGTTATTTGGGTAGAAATTTCATCATCAATATTAGCACGAGCCATACAGTGTCAATATTCCGTGATATAACGGCCGAACTTTCGCCAGGTATTCTAAATGATACTGAATTCCGACATGTAAATGCGATTCGCTCAACAAATAGCGAGGAACGAACGAGAACACAATGTAGATAGTTATGCTAATGGGAGAAACTGTTCATTTAAGGAAAGTACAAACAGAAAGCATCTTTTCGACTACAGATGATTCCACTTGCTTATAGGAGAATATAAAGGTTACATCCGGACTGGCTAACAGACAGTGGCTTCTACTGTAAGGCATTTCTGATAACGTTGTTGTGGAACTTTCTGT